TTTCATTTTTTAATGCCAATGTCGTCTAAAATTACACATTGAACTTGTGTTATCAACTCGCTTCAACCCGCCCGATATAAATTTAGCGGCCTCCAGAGACGAACTCCCTTATCAGACGCGCCCCAAAAAAGGACATTGTGCATTTTGGAGCGGGAAGAATGCGGTTACGTGGGCCAAGTTTGTCCCAGGAGGGTCGAAAAGTCGGTGGGAACGCGTGGTTTAGGAATTCCGTCCAAAAATCGATGTTTTCTTGGGACAACAAAGCCCAAAAAAGTTGGGAGAACGGGCCGGAGGAGGGCTGATCTGACGTAAGAAGGTGTTCAGTGGGTATTATGTATTACTATAACTTATAGAGACCAATATTTGGAGGGGTTTTTTGCGAGATTTTTATATTATACATGACTTTAGTGATAATAGCAAACAAGAAGGGAAAAATCCGGAAATGAAGATGTATTCTGAATTCAAATGACATTTTATCGCCATTTCACATCATTTTATAGCCAACCATAGGTATTCGTTTGACCTCTTTACCCATTTATATTATGAAGACCTATTACAATATTTTTGCTCATACTCAATTTTTTGTTAAGAAAAAATTGCAAAGTCTCTCTTGACATGATGTATCATGGTTTTACATGCCCAGCAAACATTATTTCACGGAGAAAAAATTGCATTTTTCTCAGTTTTGACCTACTATATTATACTTGCCTCCTCTATCGCATAATTTCTATTTATGACCTCCTTTCCTGATTTAAAATGCAAAATGGTTTTCCAATCGACGTCAGATGAGTCCCTCTGCCCTCGAAACGTTTCAAAAATAGCCTCAACTGATAATATTATATTAATCTTCGGTCTTCAATCGTCTGACCTATCAGACCATTTTCTCCGATTTTTTAATACTTCTGACGGCCCAAAAATGAGGTCAATCTTTTGATAAAACTTTATGAAATCTTGCAAACTCTCTAAATATACCTATTTTTCACATTTTCCTATTCAATTTGTCACCAAATATATTTGATCGTATAAAATGTTCAAAAAGGTCGGGCGCAGCTCGGCAAATCGTTTGTTTTGTTGCAAGAGAAAAAAGTGTGATTGATGGATTTCCAGAGGTGATTTTCACGTGCTCAACGTTCTTTTCATCCGTTTTTCAGAGCCACAGGGGGTGTAGAGATGGTTTTATCAGCTGTTTTTTTGTTGAACGGGTGTTTCCAAGAGTTTTGGCGAGTTTTTGGGAGGTTTTTCTTCGATCTTTCGATTTCAATCGAACAGTCAATCGTTTCGGTCCAATATGCGGGCTCTATTTAGGCACTTTATAGCCCTTTTTATAGAGAAATATTGACTTTCCTCCCAAAAATCTCGATTTTTCCGACATGGATAATATAAACTGGTGTTCCTTTGCGAGATTTGCTCTTTTATGATGCAATTTGTTTTCGCAAGGTGAGTTCGGGGTCATAGTTCAGTTTTCGTAGGATTAGCGTTCATGAAAGGTAAGAAATGACGTCATTTCGACCCAAGTCCCGCACCCATGTCCCGATCGCTAAAACAATATCGAGAAGTGGTCTCACGTGTTTGCTGATCTCGCGATTTGTTCCGTTAGTGGAATGTCAAGGTCGTCAAGGTTCAGTGCTTATCGTCGCGAATTCCCCACACGGTCGAAGACCGCGAGAAAAGGCGATTTTTTGTCGGGAGAGGGCGGCCGTCCGACTTTTCCAATTTTCAGTGTAAATTTTGATTCGAGAAGCTTGCCGGGGTCGTTTTAAAGATGCAGCAAGATGTTGTGTATTGTGTTTGTTGTGCTTGCTCTATTGGAGCCTTCGTTTCGGAGATTTTCTGAAATTTTTGATGGATTAGTTCAAGAAAGGTGCAGTCTTTTAGAAATATCTAAATTATTGTTCGTCGTCGTTCGTATAGCAAGTTAAACCTGCGCAAAGTTTAATTTAATTTTAAAATACGCTCTCTTGCAGTTCTGCGGATTAAACGATGTAGATTCTGCCTTCGTGAGATGAAAATATTGACTTTATGGACATTGATGTCCATTGTAATAAGTTGCTCTCGAATTCTGCAGGTGATTTTCTTCGAATGTTCTGTTGATCAGCAGTCGGTTCGGTGTCATTGTTGTATTAAAGCTTTCATTGAAGGAGTTTGCTCGTTTCTTGTATATCACGTTGTTGTAGAAGGACTGGTGGATCAGCGCTCGGTTTGGTGTCGTTGCAGAGTTCCATCTTCTGGTATTTCCTTGGTTTCTGTGATGGATACTAGTTTAGATGGCGTAGTTCACGGATTCTTTGATTTCTCGGAGCGAATACCACCCGCATTAAAATTTGACGTTTCTCGTCGCTGATTTTGATGGTAAAGTGCGTTAGGGGCCCTGTTTTATTTGATGAGTTTTGTTCGCTTTCTTCTCAATGTTCGTCTGTGATTAGACATTTGGAACAAGAAACATTATATTTTATACAGTCTCGGACCCGATCACACGGTAAACACGCGTCGAATTGCATCCTAGATGAAATAAGTTGCATCGCTTTGCATTCACTCTGATGGAAAATAGCGTTTGCCTTTGAAGGCATCCATCAAACGAGACATGCAAAGTGATGCAACTTATTTCATCCAGGATGCAATTGGACGTGTGTTTACCTTACAATCCTCTCTGAGACTGTGTAAAATCTGCTGTTTCTTTTTCGAAATGCCTAATCAGAGATGAACATTAAGAAGAAAGCTAACAAAACTCATCAAACGGAAGCGATCTCTAACGTATTTTACCATCAAAATCAGCGACCTGCAACGTCAAATTTTGATGCCAAAGGTATTCGCTCTGAGAAATCAAAGAATCCGTGAACTAAGCCGTCTAAATTGATATCCGTTTATAGAAATCAAGCAGATATGGGGTTCTGAAACGACAATGACACCAAGCCCAAAACTGATCCACCAGTTCTTCTACAAAAACGTGATTGAACCGAGCAAACCCCTTAAATGAAAGCTTTAACACAACAATCTCACCGAACCGAGCGCTGATCAACAGAACATTCGAAGAAAATCACCTGCAGAATTTGAGAGCAACTTATTACAATGGACATCAATGTCCATAAAGTCAATATTTTCGTTACCATCAAAATCAGCGACCAGCAACGTCAAATTTCGGTATGTTAATATGTTGACTTTGGTGTTCTTCCAAAAATCGATGGTTCTCTTTCAATTCTAGGTGGTCCTTGGTATGCTTGATCGAACTTTGAGCTGCCATTTGTCTTGTTGTTTTTTGAGAAAAGGCTGGAATGCCTTTTCTTCTGATTAACTTGAGATTTTGGATTTGGTCCTTAAGATCAATGTACTTAATATTACCCTTTTTTACATGTTCTTTCGATGATTATCAGCTGCCTTAGGTCATGCTGACCCATTGGTTTTTGTCTGCGATCATTTTTGAGCTACTCTCGGCTGTTTTCCTCCTTTTTCTCTGACTAGACGTCTAGTGTAATAAAGGGTCAATCAAAAATCGCCTTCATATTGCTTCATCTTTCGAATTTGTTACCCTTCTCTAAAAATTGGGTTCATATACAAGCTTTTTCTCCGCCTTCTGTGGTTTGGCCGAAAAATCAATGAGGTTCCCTCAAAAGTATCGTCTTTTCGCTCTTTCTGTTCGCAAACTTGGCCCCCACAAATTGGGTTATGCGACTAAATTAGCATACTTCCAGCGGGACAAGATGCTAACTAAAGAAAGTTCGGCGGGAAAATTCTTGTTTACTCATATTTTTCCGATATTTTCGCCGAAAATGTGACGTTTCTTATGATTTTAGTGATAATCTTATATGATTTTGTGTAAATTACGGCCGTCAATGGGGTGGGGAAGAAAAATAGTGTCTGTTCTTGATAAAAGAAGGCTAGGTGAGGGGAATTGATAGTTAGCGGGGACTTTGAATGATGATGTTGCACTTGGTGGTCATGGATAATATAATTCATTTTTTTTGATAGTTCACGTGTTGAATGTCTGAATTTTTGGCTTGAAAATGATGATTTGATGCTTCTAGTTTGTAGTTAAGGGCATGTCGTTGGCTAAATGGGTTGAGATATTCGATATTATACTCGATTGCCATGGATAATATAATTGAACTCTTGAGGTCCTGACTAATGATTAAGTTAGTTCTATTGTTGCGTTGCGAGTCAAATATCTCCAAGTCGGCTCCTAATAGAACTATTCGCTGTTAGAGAGGCAATGGAGTTATGAATTTGTGGAAGCAGCGAGTAATGACGTCATTTTATATTACCCATCTCAACTTGGATTTGTTTTGAGGCATTAGAGGCCGGAATTTCATTCGAGACCCTCGCCAAATGACTTGTCGTTGAAGCACACTAATCTGCGACATGTAGTAATGGTCATAATCAATTTGTATAACGAAATTGTGACTGTTTGAGTCATCTCCCTCCCACTTTACATGATTAATATAATTTCAAAGGTAACTGTCTCAATTTCATTACAGTGTTTAATGAAATTGTACCTTTTCTGGTCTCTAAGCACATTCAGTTCATCGCCATGTTTCTGACCGTTGTAAACTCTGACGCAACTGATAAAAAGGAAGCGTTTAATCGATTTCATTATCAGTTTTTGAATGAAACTGATGCTTTAACATGACTTCAAGGACTTTATACTATATATGGGGATGTTTCCAGATGAGAGGAAGGCATTTTAGGCAGTGAGTTTTAATTTAAGAGTGATTTTTTATACTATCCAATGGCAATGGTCATGGATTATATAAAATTTCGCTTTTTTTAAACTTTTCTGGAGGTATATACAGTAAACATGATCCATTGGCAAAAAATGTACCGTTTTGCATCCGGGAAGGATCAAAACGCAGCAAAGTACCTCCCTTTCCAACTAAAAAAGCTCCGTTTTGAAGGGCTCCCTCACAAAAAAAGGAAGCTTTTGAAATCGGAGTTTTTTCAGTTGGAGAGGGAGGTGTTTTGCTGCGTTTTTGATACTTCCCGGATGCAAAATGATACGATCTTAGCCAATGGATCGGCTTCACTGTATGTACCACCAGAGTAGGGTAAAAAAAGCGAAATTTTATATTATCCATGACCATTGCCATGGATAAAATAAAAAATCACTCTTAAATTAAAATTCACTGCCTAAAATGAGTCCCTCTTATCTGGAAACATCCCAATATCTAGCATAAAGTCCTTGAGGTCATGTTAAAGCATCAGTTTCACTCAAAAACTGATACTGAAATCGATTAAACGCTCCCTTTTTATCAGTTGCGTCCGAGTTTACAACGGTCAGGAAAATGGCGATGAGGACACTGTAGTCCGTTGTTGACAGTGAATTTTACCGCGAATTTTATTACTAAATATTTCATGGACACTTTAATGTGACTAAAAATTATTTTTTTTCAGAAAACTTGAGGTCTCACGAACATTTTTACCTCAAAACTATGAGTTACGGTCAAACTACCTCAGCTTTAACCCAGAAACCAACCATTTGGCAGTCAATACAGCCGTCTGAAAAGACGGTGAAAGGCGTCGTAATCGGCGGTCTCACTGGCGCCATCGAGATCTGCATCACTTTCCCCACGGAATACGTCAAAACTCAACTTCAGCTGGATGAAAGAAGTGCGACACCTAAGTATAGAGTGAGTTTAGAGGCTTTCTGTGTATTCTTGAAGGGATTTAGAGGAGGTTTGAAGGATATTTAGGAGTTTTGGAGGCTTTTGTTATATCGTACTAGGTAGTGTGGAGAAAATTTTTGTTTTTTCTTTGAGGAACTTTTGGAACCAATGGTTTTTTGGTTGATAAGGAAGATGTATGGTTCTGTGAATGTTCAGAGGTAGTTTTTTTATTTTGAAAGGTTGATTTTTTGATCTTTTTGATTGGTTTTCTTAGTTTAATATCTAAAATTTTGTACTCTTGAATTTTCACGGATTTTTTTCTGTTTTTATATTTAATCTAGATGGAATGCGTAAAGAAATGGAATTGGGATGTGTTGGGATCTAATTTTTATGAAAAACTAAGAATTTTTGGTGTTAGTTTGGGCCACCTAGTGTAATATCGAAAAATTCAAAAAAATTGTTAGATATCGAGAACTTTTTGATGGCATAAGTTTCAATAAGAATTGTAGAACATTTTGAAATTATTTTTGGTCTTAAAGCTACTATTTTTCACTGATTTTAGACTGATTTGCCTAGTGTAATATCCAGAAATGTTTGATTTTTATATTTTTGTTGGTTTTTTAACTTCCTTTTAATCTGAATAATTTTTCAGGGTCCAGCCGACTGTGTAAAGCAGACCGTCCGCAGTCATGGCGTCCTTGGCCTCTACCGTGGCCTCTCCGTTCTTCTCTATGGATCAATCCCAAAGTCGTCGTTCAGATTCGGAACCTTTGAGTTCCTGAAAGGGAAAGCCGCGGATGAGAAGGGCAATCTGACGCCGGTGATGAGATTACTTTGCGGATTGGGTGCCGGCTTATCAGAAGCAGTTTTTGCAGTCACCCCAATGGAGACCGTCAAGGTGAAGTTTATCCATGATCAGACCCTGGAAAAGCCCCAATACAAGGGATTCACGCATGGATTGAAGACGATTGTCAAGAATGAAGGCTTGGGAGTGAGTTGTTTTTGTTTGTTTTTTGATTTTTAGGTATCAAAAAAGTGAATTTCCTCAAGAAAAGAATGTGAAATTTCTGGGACATCCCTTCAATGGATGAACTAGAATTTTTGGCGATTGATCTATGCTCTAGACAGAGTTTGTACCCAAAATTTGAAGGACATTGATCAAGATTTTCGCCACTAATTTTATATTGTTTCAGGGTCTCTACCAAGGAGTAACGGCCACCATGGCGAAGCAAGGAAGCAACCAAGCCATCCGATTCTTCGTCATGGAGACCCTCAAGGACTGGTATCGCGGCGGGGACCCGAATCAAAAAGTCTCCAAGCCAATTATCGGATGCATGGGATTGGTGGCGGGCGCGGCTTCGGTCTACGGAAACACCCCAATTGATGTGGTAAAAACTCGAATGCAGGGCCTGGACAGACATAAATACAAGAGCACAATCGATTGCGCTGTCAAAATTTGGAAACACGAGGGATTCTTTGCGTAAGTGGAGATTTTAAGAGTAAATTTTATATTATACTAGGCAAAATTGAGGATTTTTTGGAAAATTTAGAGAGAAATGATGGCGCTATTATCTGAAATTGATATAGAGACCAACTTGAGGTCTTATTGAACTTATTTTTGTATTTTTCAGCTTCTACAAAGGCACCGTCCCTCGGCTGAGCCGGGTTTGCCTCGACGTCGCCATCACCTTTATGATCTACGATTCCATCATGGAAGCCATCAAAAAGTACTGGTAGAGTAGACTGTATACTCTCAAAATGCCAACCACTATGGCCTTTGTTAATTTCCCCTCAGTTTTCACTTCGGATTTACAATTTTTTCACTTGAGTGCCTAATGTAGAACGTGTAGATTTTGTTTTGTAAATTTTTCGAAATTTTTTAACCTCATGATTTGTAAATTGTAGAGTTTTGGAGAGTATATATATTCGTCTTGTTATGTAAGTAATCCTTTTCGCTGTAATAAATTATTTTGTGAAGGATTTGGGAGGTTGTAATTGATGTACTTGATGTCATAAATAAGGTCAGAACTTGCGGGAAAGGTAAAAGTGATGGGCAAAAATCAATTTAGAAGCCGGATAAGAGCATTAGAACATCTACTGGCTGTATTGGCTCCAAAAAATTTCAAATTTTGAATTTCGCGCCAATTTTTGGCATTGTGTTTTAGGGTTCAGAATAGGTTCAAAACACTTTGAAATGACAAAATATAAGGGCAACAGACATAATTTTACCGAAAACCCCTAAAAAGTCGCAACTAAAAATTCCAAAATTTGAATTTCCCGCCAATTTTTGGCATTGTGTTTTATGGTGTGAAAAGCTCCTGGAAAGCATTTTTGAGATTTCTTGACCTTTTTTTAAACTACTACACTCTTCAAAAAGTGATACGTCTGAACAGTTTGACTGTTTGTTTGCCACTTGAAAACGAACGTGGGTTTCGCTTCCGATCCAAGACGAGTGCGGATTTTCGAGAACCACGTTGTTTTTTCGTCACAAACTGGAGTGCAATTCTCTGTGTAAAGTTTAAACAAACGAACAAAGTTTAAGAGGAGACAATATGCAGCAAATTCATACTGTTTTTACTGCAAAATTTTGAGATTTTTTTTGAAAATTTTTCAGTTGTTGCTTCACACATAAAAGTGCTGTTTTTGAGCGGACGAGCAGAAAAAGGCTGGGAACTTAGTCTGGAGAAAGGGGTCTTTTCTGGGCCATAGCTATCTGCGAAATATTTTTTAAATTTAATATTTACCTTGCACGTCATTCCGTACTTTTGGGAGACAACCGGTCTCCGCGACTTTTTCAATTTTTTTCGGAATGCGCTTTCTTTTTCTTTCCATATCTCGCTAGCCGTTTCCGCTAGAAGGCCGACATTGGGCTTGGCAGTATTGTAAAAAGCTGGCTTTCAGAAAATACAAATATTGTAAGGACCCCCGCAGCATAAAATTTCCGATGACAATTGAAAAAATCTCATTTTTAAAACTTCTGCAACCCAGAAGTGCAGGTTGCATGATCGTATTGACAAATTTCATCTTGTCTATGTGTGTCAAATTCGATTCTCTGCAAGAGCGCCAGAATGCCGTGTGTTGGGCTTCCTCATAAAAGGCCTCCTTTCCACTGAATATTAGGGTGTCCCATAAGTCTTGTGTATTTTTTAGGTCATCGATTTCTGCGAATTCTTTTGAGCTTTGAGACGTATTACGAGGTATGTTGGATGCAAGCCTTTGAAGCTCAGAAATCGCGCTTTTAAACCATGTATAGCAAGGCTGGAAAAAATCCAGCCGCTACCCGCTATACCCCAATATTGAACTAGATATTAAAAATCATTGGTCAAATTTCATATTATTGGTTACGCCTCCATTCGCCCTCATTGGAACGCCTCTGCTGACGTGATGCATTCTTCGCTGTCAAAAATTTTGAAAAAATATTGCATTATCTTCAAAGCCCCACAGTGAGAGGGGGTTTTTTTTGACACAAGACGCAGGTCTTGTCTTGAAAAAACTTGGCTTACAATCGAAAAAAAAATTTTTTGCGACTTGACAAATCCTTAGCTCACAGTTTGTAAAATTTTACAAGGAAAGTACTTCTGTGGGGTATGGAGTTACAGGTCGAGACATATATCAAAAACTTCGCAAAATTTTTTTGATTCAGAACATGCAAAAACGTGAGGATTTTTTCATCCTTACAGACCAAAATTAGACAGCTAATTAAAAAAATTTTGCGATCATTTGATGTATGTCTCGACCTGTAACTCCACACCCCATAGAAGTACTTTCCTTGTAAAAAAATGATGACTTTTTGGCACTTTGTGTACCTCCTTTCTTTTATCAAAATTTCAGCGTCGCATTTTACAAATTTTTCCAGTAAAATTGAACTTTAAATCTTGGTCTACAAAATCTTGCTTACTTCCTGGTCAAGACAAAAAATCAAAAAATCGCAAGCATGCGAACGGCCAACACTCTTTTTTTTGCTCATCCGCTCTCAAAGTGATCTCTGACAACGCAGCAAACTGATCTCTGCAAAATGAATTCGAACAAGACATGAACAAGCTGAGATATTCAAATGAATTAAGACTCGTTGATCTCGGTTGAAAGTTTAGGGCTTTTCCGGCCTCTCAAGTGGATGCAAGGCTGTCAATTGACGTCTCAAAGGAACGTTTCAAAACCTTGAGGAGTTCGAGAAATCGTCCTGAAGGTTTGTGGTTTTGTTCTTGCTCTTTAACTTGTAAAAGTGCAAAGGATGTGCGGATTTTTTTTAAAAAATTTTTTTGATCAAAGTTTTGTCAAATTTGGCCTACGTATTTTACAGCGGCCACATATCAATGGCTGAAAATTTTAGCTCACGCTTTGCAGGCAATTTATGGGATATGATTAAAAATCATGTTGTTTTAGGGACTAAAGTAATGTTTTTGATAAAAAAACAGTGATGTAGATTAAGATACTAAAATTTTTGGGTTTTAAATGTCAGAAAAATTGAAATTATATACGAAAAAATATCAAAAATTTCGAAAAAATCAAAAAAACTCAGTTTTTTGATGATTTTAAAAAAAATTTCAAATGAAAATTGCTCGAGGCACTTTTTTCAGATTTTCTTGAAACTTGGCCCATATACTTTGTCTAGGCCACTTATCAATTGCTGAAATTTATAGCGTTCAATTTGCCGCCAGAGCCGAGATATTGAACGATTTTTGCGGTTGAGAGAGTACGCAAAATGCGGAGAGCGGTCAGAGAAGACACCTTTTGGCCGTGTTTTTCCAAATTTCGTGCGGAAAAAATTGATTTTTTTGTGGAAAAATTACGCTCTACAGTAGAAATAGTCATAGATATTTTCATGCCAAAATTTATAACAATCGTTGCCGAGTACGTATATACATGCAAATTTAGGATAAAATAAAAAATTTTCTGACATACGACCTAGTCTTACAGGGAAGAGCAACAAATCGTGACGCTAGGGCCAATTTTTGACCGAAAAATCTCGATTTCCTCTGCAAAACGCGATCTACGAGTGTTGCATACGTCTTTGAAAAAGATGATTTTTACGTATCTCGCTTCAAATTTCATAAAAATCCAAGTGCCAAACAGCTCGCTCCTTGTCTGGAAATTCTAAGCTCCCTTACAAAATGACGTTTATTTTGTCCATTTCCCATCAAAAGTTGATAGGTAAACATGCGCATTTGTACCGTGTTTTCTCTTCTCCACCACAAAAGGGACCGATCCCGGTCCGGCGGGGTCAAAGGCCGTCGATTAGGGGATTGTAGGATAAGGAGAGTCCGACTCTTTGAAAGGCTCAAGTTTTTGTTTGCATTGTCTGTCGGACTTGTAAATATAGAACTTGAAATGAATTGCCAAAAAAGGGATTAAAGTGTGTTTTTTATTTTTTTATGATTTGTAAATTGTAGACTTTTAGAGAGTATATAAATCTGTCTTGTTATGTAAGTCATCCTTTTTGCGGTAATAAACTATTTTGTGAGGGATTTGGGATGTTAAACTTGATGTCATGTATAGCCATAGATAAGGTCAGAACTTGCGGGAATGGTGAAACTGAGGGGCGAATATCAACGTAAAAGCCGAGAAAGAGCAGTAAAAAACACCTGTTTATATTATTTGGTCAAAAAAATTTCAAATTTTGAATTTCCCGCCAATTTTTGGCATTGTGTTTTAGGGTTCGGAATCGATTCAAAACACTTTGAAATGGCAAAATATGAGGGCAATGGACATAATTTTACCGAAAAACCTCAAAAAATCGAAAATTAAATGGAAAATATTTGAATTTCCCGCCAATTTTTGGCATTATGTTTTATGGTCTGAAAAGCCTTAGGAAAGCATTTCTAGAGATTTTTTGGCTTTTTTATAACTGTTACACACCTCGAAAAGTGATAAACGTCTGAACACTTTGACTCTTTGTTTGAAAAGCTCTCCTCATTTTGTGTGCTGTCTCGTCGGCAAAGGTCTTTGAATATCTCGGCTGTCCTTGCAAAGTGAAAGCTAAAATTTTCAGGGATTGCTATACGATTGATGTGTAAAATCTGGATAAAATTTGAAAAAAAATCTAGGCATTGCAATTCTAGCACTTACCATGCACTTTTCCTTTCGTATTTTCGAGATTTTTCTTCGCTGAACCACCGATTATTAATGCCGGTCCAACTTTTCAAAGGTTTCTGGTTCCATGTTGCCTCTAAGCCTCCGTTAATGCCCGGAGGTCACATGGAAATTCTTGTCGGAGGTGCAGAAAGAGCTTTGGGGAACCCTCCTCGATTATGCAGATCCCTTTGACTTTTCGCTGACAACTCTCTTTCATCATTGCTGAGGCCGAAATCTTCTCGGGATTTCCATCCTGATCATTTGTACTCGGCCTCGTGACCTTACAAATAGCCTACGATTCGCCGTGATGCACGGAGTTGTTGACGCAAATTGGGGATTTTGCTCGGTTGCAAAGACTTGGAAATGGCGGAGTTGTAGTGGTTAGATTTTCTTCAAATTTTGCCTAGATGATCTGTATGGGGGATGTTTTAATGATTGAAATTTTTAGCTCGCGTTTTGCTGCGGCAGCCGAGATATTGAACCATCTTTGGGGCCGAGAGAGTACCGGGAATGGGGAGAGCAGACAGAAAAAATAGTTTTTTGGCCGTATCTTTGCTAGTTTCGTGCGGAAAAAAATCATTTTTTGCGAAAATGTTACTCTCTGCACCAAAAATAAGACAAAATTTTTCATGAAAAAAGATCGCAAAAAATCTCAATTTTTTTTA